TTATTTTTTAGAAGTTGTGCAAGTGTTCATTAGCTCTGTAGTTTGTGTAATCTTATATGAGTTATGAAAGTGTTCATAATTTTCTATGATGGTATCTTCATAATTCTATTAATTTGTGTTAATTATTATCATTTGTTACTTTAAATTGTGTACACTAAAACGTCGAAGATGTTGCAATATATGTAATACAAACTATGTAATACAAACTATGTACCTTGTTTAGTTATAAGTTGTGCAAGTGTTAATTATTTTATATGAAATATAAGGATGCATGAGAACAAACTTTACAAAAAAGTAAAAAAAAAAATTTTACAAAAAGATGACCGTCGGTTTGATCTCTGAAACCTAAGGTAAGAAGATAACTTAACAGACTGAAAATGTGTGTAAATCTTAAAAAAATTCTGCAAGTTGGGTAATACATAAATCATTCTATAACTGGCCATTATATTTTGAAGAGCCCAAATCCATTTTGTCAAAAACTCAAAAAATCAGAATTTGACAAATCGAGATGAGAATTAATTTTGTCCGGTTTAATTTCAATTAATAAATGTTGACATGGCTTTTTTTACCCCCCTCACAAATGCTGATGTGGATGCATGAAAAGGGAGAAAACTCAACTTTATTGTATAAGATATTGACTCCTTTAGACAGGCCTTTTAAACTATCACAAACAGCACTCCTTTCACAAGGCCTCATTGCCGACGCATTCTCGTAGGTAGGTAACTCAATTCCGAACTGGCTTTGAGATTTACTTTTTCTGGAATTAATTTGACTTGGTTTAACATTTAACTACCGTTTTGATTGGACATTAGAATTTAAGATTGCTGTAATTTGCGATAAAGATATAACTTTAGTTAAGAAGAATTAGGATTTTGGACTAACAACTAACCATATATACGAGTCAATAATCCACCTTATTGTAATAAACAAAGCAGTAGAAAAGCATAACAAAGTCAGTGGCTGGTGTTAAAAACTCAATTCAATCGAACCAACCAATAATAGACACAACCATATGTATTGCTTGATGTTTTATTACACGCAGCCAGTGTCTTAAATCAATGTTTTGAAGGATCAAGAACTTGACCCATGAACAAAATTACTCCACTCTTGTCTTCTCTTACCGTAAATAGAAATGGATGGTCAGCTACAAAATCAGGATTTTTCCTCAAACAAAAGAAACTTATTTCGCCAACAGAAACGGCTGCAGCTTCAGTTCCTTCTTCATCCAACTCAATGCAAGCATTATGAAGAATGTTTGAGACGTACAACTTCTCAGCGATGGTAGGTGAATCAACCATCTCAGTTAGACCACCTCCATTAGTCCTAAACGGTGAAGTCAACCCCATATCTTTCAAAACATCCGAAGCTTTAAACTTGAAAGAGAACTTAAATTTCGGAATTTTAAAAGCATCCAATTCTATTTGGTAATTTGGAATATGGTTATCAAGATATCCTGGTTCAGAACCTATTTTCTCAAGCAGGGTAGGCAATCCGTTTCTAGCATCAGGAAGATAAATGTACATGGAGAACTGACGCTGATCCTCTACATAAGGGAGGCGTAAAACTTGGAAACCATCATAGCGTCTTAGGTATTGGTCCTTGTGACTGTTCATAAAAGGGACTTTCACAGAGGTGCCATCAAGAAGGTAAAAATCATTATCTTTTGTAGACCTTGCATCGAATTTTTCACTCCAAGCTCCTTTGAAGTATACTGCATTTGCAAGTATTAATGTACTTTGACAGATATCCTCAATGGAATCCTTTGAAAGAATCTGCTTGATGAGTCCATTGGTGTGATCTTCAGCCCATGTATTCACTTCATCAATGACTTCACCAGGCTTCAAAATAAGCCATCATCAAATTAACCAATCATTCCGAAAATTCACATATTAAACACAATCCCACACATTGAGGAATTTAATTACAATGTTACTATTAGGAATGTGACATCAAAAATTTAATAAAATGGACCTAAAATTTATACTATAATTGAGACATGAGTCAATTTGTTAATTGCTATTTTTTAGAATTGAAAAACCAATGAAACCTCGACGGTACGTTATCTACGAAATGGAAGTAAAATTTGATGAATTAAGATGTAACGCCCCGACCGCCCACAGCTAATGGGCCACCCACGCCCGCTCTCTCGGCCTGTGGGCCCCATCCCGTTCCAAGGGCCGGTCCGTTAAATTTCTAAGGCTCTAGAGTCATGTTTACTGACCATGCAATCACCACCCGACCTTTCCCCGTGCTTTAGCCTCACTTACACGGTATCGCAAATCACTTCCCGATAGGTCACCCATCCTTTGACTATTTCAGCTCAAGCACGCTTAACTCTGGAGTTCTCTGTGGATGTGCTCCCGAAAAGGTAAGTGCACCTTGGTGACATAGGTAGCCAAATCAATTCTCTTAAGCTATTCCATATACCACAAACCGGGATGTTACATACGAGTTGCGAAGAATATAGAACACTTACCTTGTTAAAGAAGTCAACCTGACTGGAAGTAGCCTTGTAGGATTTCTCTAAATTCTCTTTAAAGGAAGGCTTCAAGGAGACAGACTTGTCGATCCATACACCATTAGCTGCAGATAAGCGCACACCAGAGGCAGAGCTCTCCCTATCATCAAGTAGGCTCCAAAAGTCAGGGCCAAGGCCGTCAATACTTTGACACGGGCTGGACCGTCGTCCCTGTGGGGTTGATACCACATTAACATCCCTACGGGCAACAGATATGATCTCGACCAAGATTGTGTTGAGGTGATCCGTTGACGGCGAGTTGAGGAATGAGAGGATATGTTCTTTAGTGACGCTATTAGAACCTGCTGCAATGATGCCGAGCAATACTATGATTGAGGTTGGTGAGAAGACAAGGTTGGAGCCGTCGGCAACCTTAGCTATTACATGCTTCGCTAGTCTTACCACCACGTCGTTTTGCTTCTCCATGTTTTCTTTTTTACCTTTGTTACGACGAGAGAGTGAGACGGGGGAAACTGGTCTTAAATAGGGCGTGGCCATGATTATATAGTACCATGTTTCAAAGTTGAGGTCCAGAAAATTTGAATTATTATTTATCACCTCAGCACGGTTAGACGATATATTTTTCTTTTCAAGATATATCATTTAAAAAAATATATAATGACAATGACTTTTCTTTTTAAAGTAATAATTTGGAAATGAAGAGTGGTGGCCGGTGGGGGTAGAAAGTCAGGAAGACTGCAAATTCAAGCTAAACTTCTTTTAAAATAAAAAAAGATATTTAGGAAATTGTTTTTTTTTTCAAATTATTATAATGAAAATAATACTATGTGACTAACAAGTAGGTAGCTATATCAATTTATTATGAACTTTTTAATAATTAATTAAAACGTAAACGTACACAATAATAAGATCCGATCCACAGTGACCATGGGTTGATTAATGGAAAACCAAAGAATACCAGCTCAAACCTTAAAGTCCTGAACACATGATATTTTTATTGATGTTTATTTATCATTTGAGTTACCAATTTTAAAAAGAATAATTCGAAATTGTAATTCAATAACACATAACTCAAACAAAAGTTCAATTTTTTAAAAAAATATACATACTGGTAACATTTTGAGTTATAGCTTTCATAAAAAACATTTTGAATTATATTTATAACTCAAGAGTAAATCGAAGTGTAATTCATTTTACCGATCAAACCGGCATTAAACTCTTTTGTTTATAGATACTCTAGAGTTGGTAATCTGGCTGGAGTTTTTTTTCTTCTTATAATACCGAACAATTTTATTACTAGAGAAAAAATAGTATAAAAACAGAACCAGCAAAGTCAGTTGCTAGCTTTACAAACTCAATTTCATCACACAACATAATATACAGAATAAAACATATTATTGGCTTAATATTTTCTCCCACGCCACCAACAATTGAATCAATGTTTTGAGGGATCAAGAACTTGACCCATGAACAAAATCACTCCACTTTTGTCTTCTCTTACTGTAAAAAGAAATGGATGGTCAGCCACAAAATCTGGTTTTTTCCTCACAGGCTGGAGACTTAGCATAGTTATGACGCCAACAGAAACCGCTGCAGCTTCAGTTCCCTCTTCATCCACCTCAATGCAAGCTTTATGAAGAATTTTTGAGACATACAACTTCTCCCCCATGATAGGTGAATCAACCATCTCAGTTAGACCACCTCCATTAGTCCTAAACGGTGAAGTCAACCCCATATCTTTCAAAACTTCGGAAGCTTTAAACTCGAACATAAACTTAAACTTTGGAATTCTAAGAGCACCCAGTTCTATTTGGTTGTCTGGAATATGGTTATCAAGAAACCCTGGTTCAGAGCCTATTTTCTCAAGCAGAGTAGGCAATCCGTTTTTAACATCAGGAAGATAAATGTACATGGAGAACTGTCGTTGATCCTCTACATAAGGGAGCCGCACAACTTGGAAACCATCGTAACGTCTTAGGTATTGGTCCTTGTAACTAGCCATGAAGGGGACTCTCACAGACGTGCCATCAAGAAGGTGAAAGTCGTTATATTTGGTGAACCTTGCATTGAATTTTTCGCTCCAAACTCCTTTGAAATACACTGCGTTTGCAAGCATGAGTTTGCTTTGACGGATATCCTCAATGGAATCCTTTGAAAGAATCTGACTGATGAGTCCATTTGTGTGATCATGAGCCCATGTATTCAATTCATCAATTACTTCAGCAGGCTTCAAAATAAGCGATCATCAAATTAGCCAATCGTTCCATAAATTCACATATTAAAGACAACCCCACACAAGGAGGAACTTACAGTAAAACACCTTTCATCGTCATGTGAATTGTAAATGCATGAATATGATATACCAATAATACGAATCTGACGTCTAAAATAAAATAAGATGTGACCTAAAATATTACTTATAGTAGAGACATGAGTCAATCCATTAATTACTAATTTGTTTGAACTGAAATACCAATGAAACCTCGACAGTACGATATGCACGCAATGGGTGGGTAAAATCTGAAGAATTAAGACTTGCACAAAGCATAGAAGACTTACCTTGTTTGAGAAGTCAACCTGACTGCAAGTAGCCTTGTAGGATTTCTCTAAAATCTCTTTGAAGGAAGGCTTCAAGGAGACAGACTTGTCGATCCATACACCATTAGCTGCAGATAAGCGCACACAAGAGGCAGAGCTCTCCCTATCATCAAGTAGGCTCCAAAAGTCAGGGCCAAGGCCGTCAAGACTTTGACACTGGCTGGACCGTTCCTGCGGGGTTGATACCTTATTAGCATCTCCAAGGGCAACAGATATGATCTCAGCCAAGAGTGTGTTGAGGTGATCCGTTGACGGAGAGTTGAGAAATGAGAGAATTTGTTCTTTAGTGACGGAATTGGAACCTGCGGCAATAATGCTGAGCAAAACGTTGATTGAGGTTGGTGAGAAGACAAGGTTGGAGCCGTCGGCAACCGTAGCAATTACATGCTTCGCTAGTCTTAGTACAACGTCGTTTTGCTTCTCCATGTATTCTTTTTTACCTTTTTACCACGAAATAGTGAGGTGGGGGGACGAATGATCTTAAATAGTAAATGGCGATGAATATAATATCATGTGTTCAAAGTTGAATATCAGAAAAATTGAATATTCATTACTTATCACCTCAGCACGATTACAAGGTTGATTGTTGGCCGGTGGGGGTAGAAACCAATATATATAATGAAAATGACTTTCATTTAAAGTAATACACTGGAAATGAAGATTGTTGGCCGGTGGGAGTAGAAAGTCACCAAGATGGCAAATTCAAACCTATTTTAATAAGTTTCAAACAGTTTTATTGATGATCAAATAGAATGGATGGGTTTCTTGTACGTTAAGTAATAACTAAGAGACTCAGGCACCTGATATGATTAAAGGTCTACTGAGAATCCTACATTGTATTTTCTAGACGAAAACAAAATTACAGAAATAAGCATGGTAAAAGATTTATATATATGAACACAGAAGTCATACAATCTTTTATTTTGCTTAAATCAAGGTTTGCCAGACTAGGAAAATAGCTGTCTAATTTCCTGGGAAAACAATCCTACAAACTTTGACTTGGTTTTTGAATTAAATAATAGGGTTGGTCCACCCTACGAGTGAGATTTATTTTTTACTATAATCTAAGTTATTATTTTTTTTGTGTAATTTTGTGATAATTGTGTTTAGATTTGCATTTGTAAAAGACGTGTATGATAATATTTTTTATCTTTTAAAAAAATTTAGGTGAGAAAATATTATATGTGATAAAATATATTTTGCTTAAAATATTACATAAATTTACTAAAAATTATAGCAAAACTATTCATAAATTAATTATTTACATATTTTTATGTATCGTTCTTATTTATTCTTAAAATTCATATTTTTATTACATTGTATATTTTTGAATTACATTATTTATATATATTTTCGTACATGCAACTGTATTTTCACCTAAAATATTGTAACAAAGTGATTATTTATAGATCGAGATCCATATTTTTGAATTACATTATGTATATATATATTGTGAATATCCATAACATGCAATCGTATTTTCACCTAAAATATTGTAGCAAAGTGATTATTTATAGATCGAGATCCACAAACATTGTGATAAGAGGTGCATTGAATGGAAAGTTGTGGGATTAGTGGATCGGTGATGTTAATCAAAACTTTAATATGGTTTACTGAATCCATTTGTCAATGTCCGGAACATTGTCAATGTCCGGAACAGCTAACAACACCAACGATGCTTGCGGAGAAGGCGAAGCGAGTTAGTTAACCTATAATACAATAATAACTTTTTCTTTAATAGATTTTTTGTGAGATATAAATGATTAATCCCATCATGTAAGAGATTTTTAAATACGCACATTAAATGATAAAGTCTAATTACGTAAAAATTAAATGAAACAGTGAGTTTAAGTCACCTGGACACATGTCGCGCATACATGCTTCAATTTTGTGACGTGATAAAATATATTTTGCTTAAAATATTACATAAATTTACTAAAAATTATAGCAAAACTATTCATAAATTAATTATTTACATATTTTTTATGTATCGTTCTTATTTATTCTTAAAATTCATATTTTTATTACATTGTATATTTTTGAATTACATTATTTATATATATTTTCGTACATGCAACTGTATTTTCACCTAAAATATTGTAGCAAAGTGATTATTTATAGATCGAGATCCATATTTTTGAATTACATTATGTATATATATATTGTGAATATCCATAACATGCAACCATATTTTCACCTAAAATATTGTAGCAAAGTGATTATTTATAGATCGAGACCCACAAACATTGTGATAAGAGGTGCATTGAATGGAAAGTTGTGGGATTAGTGGATCGGTGATGTTAATCAAAACTTTAATATTGTTTACTGAATCCATTTGTCAATGTCCGGAACAGCTAACAACACCAACGATGCTTGCGGAGAAGGCGAAGCGAGTTAGTTAACCTATAATACAATAATAACTTTTTCTTTAATAGATTTTTTGTGAGATATAAATGATTAATCCCATCATGTAAGAGATTTTTAAATACGCACATTAAACGATAAAGTCTAATTACGTAAAAATTAAATGAAACAGTGAGTTTAAGTCACCTGGACACATGTCGCGCATACATGCTTCAATTTTGTGACGTGGATGCTGATGTGGATGGGTTAAACAGGAGAGAAACATTACTTTATATAAATATATACTAGGGGCGTCCGCATTACGCGCAGAATATACTTCACATATGATATATAACTATATCATTGTATATTTTATTGCATGTGTATGTTTTATGTTACCATTTAAATGAGAAGTGTATAAGAACACTTATGGTTAAAAAAAACTGGACGTGGAGGGATTATATATATATATATATATATTAAGATTTATTATGTTTGATTTTGATATATGTGTCAATATTAAGTAATTTCAGCATCTAACATACTATACTGGTTGGATGTGATTTACATGGTTTTCTAGGGGTTATTCCGTGCTTCGTGTGGGAGTTATTAATTTCTTTTGGTATTTTTCTTAACAACATTTGTTTTAAATTTAAACGATTAGTTATATATTAAGTATGAATCATTCTTTCCATGATTGTTTCTATTCATTCAGATTCATTTACGTTGCGGTTAACTAAATTTTCTAATAACTAAAATTGTTTTATAAAACTCGGTAAGCTCTTTTAATTTTGGCAGATGTAAAATTATTGATCTATTTGTTTTATTTAGATTACGTAGTTGTATTTTTCCTATTACTAGTCTCGGTTATTTTATAACATGCCTCTTTGGACCATATACAAACTTTTATCTTCATATCAGTTTTAGATTTATGTTTGACATATTTTAAAAAAAATAATTTCATGACATAAACTTCTAAAATATTTACATGTATTTTTGCATCAAAATCTTATTAGTTAACTTAACTCAATTTTTTGACTAAAAAAAAATATATATAATGGAATCACTTATATTTATGTATTTGTTGATTTTGGTTAGATAAAACATTAGAAAGCAGTTTTTTTAAATGAATTACTTATTTTTGTTCTTATGAACTCTTTTAATATGGTATTATCATCATTTTTTCATGTTCATTTCTCTACTTGAATTTGGTGACCTAAAACGAAATATGTTTTTATGAGATTTACACTTTTTCTTGTAATGAAGCTCTGCAATTTTATTTATGGTGATGTAGAGTTCTTGATTTGTTTATTCTATTTTAGATCACGTGGTTTTTTATTTTCTCTATTTTCTCATGTCTCTTTATTATATTATGTTTCTCGTTTGGTCTATACTACAAAGTTTTATTTTTATATCAGTTTTGGGTTTATGTACAAATATATATATAAATATATATATATATATTATATATTCTTAAATCATGACATAAACTAAAAAACATTCTAGGTTTATTTAGATAGAATAACCTACAATCTTTCGTTTATATCCTAAAACACTTATTCAAATTTTCTATATTTTTTCTTTATATCATGCTCTGTTTTGTTTCTCCAACTATTATTTTGACTTATTTGTTTTGATTATTGCTATTAATTTTTAATTGTGTTTTTGCATTAATATATTTTTAGTTTCACTTAACCTGGATTTCTTGATTAAAAATAAGAAAAACACTGGATTAACTTTTTTATATTTTTATATTTTGGTTTGATAATTATAAAACAATTTCGTAAATGAATTATTGCATTTATTTTTCTTATGTATTTTTCAATTTGGTATTTTCATCATTTATCATGTTATTTATACTTGATTTTGATGACCTCAATAGGAAATATGTTTTTTGGATGAGATTTACATTTTTTGTGTGATAAGTCTAGATAATTGGTTGGGATATAGTTCTAAATTTTGTGCTGCAAAGTTTTGTCTGTATAATTTTTATTGTAGATGTATCTGCAACAAATGTATATGTTTTCTACAACACATAAAATATTGGTTTAGCATATAGATGCTTTACAACTATTTTTTTTTGTATTTGTTTCTAGTTTAGAAAATTAACTTGTCATGATTGATAATTTTGAATGCTGTAAATAAAAGTTAAAACTAAAGAATAATCTGCAGCCTATGTTGATCAGTTTTTTATTTATTTTAGATTATCTATGATGCCGAAAGAAAATTAGGTCATTTAGATGCCATAGTTTCATCTTTACCACTATGTGGTGTCATCCTTTCAGTTACATGAGCTGCAACGAAGCCTAAACAACACCAATAACAATTCCTGTTGAATCAAATTTTGAAATGACTCATAAAATACTAAAAAACAACTCAACCCTTTGTTTGAATCTGTTAATGAAAGTCAGAAGCTTTGGCAAGCTGGTCACTTGTTATCAAATCCTAGAGGAACAAACGACTTTTAACTACCCAGCTCGAGGGGTTCCAGAAAAAACTGATAAAGATGTGATCAACAATAAATTTTGAGAATGATACATCTAACGCTAGCAGCCAGGGTAGGTGTAAGCGCTCATGAAATCCTGTAATAGATAAGATCTTTTGTCTTTGATCCTCAAAATTAGCAGTTCCTTGAATCTTTTTCCTCCCTGTAAATAAAGAAAAGAACATTCAGAGACTGAGACTTTGGAACAACAAAGAAACCTTAATTACTAATACACAAACTGCAGAACCATATAACAGAGATAACAACTAAAGAATCATCAGCTTCAATCTCTAAAGCAAACAATGTGGCAGAAACAAACTAACATAGTGACCAATCCAGTTTGTATGTAGCCCCTGTAATAATATCACAAAAAGTAATGATCCACAATGTCTTTGATCCTCGAACTTAGCAGCTCCTTGAATTTTTTTCCTCTTTGTAAAAAAAAAAGAAGACACAACAAAGAACATTCAGGGACTGAGATTACTTACTAATACACAAACTACAAAACCATATAACAGAGATAGCAGCTAAACATCGTCAGCTTCAATCTCTAAAGCAAACAATGTGGCAGACACAAACTAACAAAGTGACCAATCCA